GGGGAATCATAGTCTCCATCATCCTTTCCTCACTGGGACAATGCTATAATAATGATGATCATCATACTTTTATTTACTTACAACTCAAGAATTACAACTCGATACTTAGAACAAGATATGGCTCTATATGAATGCCTCCGGCGGTGTACCGGGATGTGCAATGACTCATGAGTGACATGTATGAAAGAATTATGAACGGTGGCTTTGCCACAAATACAATTCAACTACATGATCATGCAAAGCAATATGACAATGATGGAATGTGTCATAGTAACGGAAACGGTGGAAAGCTGCATGGCAATATATCTCGGAATGGCTATGGAAATGCCATAATAGGTAGGTATGGTGGCTCTTTTTAGGAAGGTATATGGTGGGTTTATGATACCGGCGAAAGTTGCGCGGTACTAGAGAGGCTAGCAATGGTGGAAGGGTGAGAGTGCGTATAATCCATGGACTCAACATTAGTCATAAAGAACTCACATACTTATTATAAAAATTTATTAGTTATTGAAACAAAGTACTACGTGCATGCTCCTAGAGGGATAGATTGGTAGGAAAAGACCATCGCTCATCCCCGACTGCCACTCATAAGGGAGACAAACAATAAATAAATCATGCTCCGACTTCGTCACATAACGGTTTACCATACGTGCATGCTACGGGAATCACAGACTTCAACACAAGTATTTCTCAAATTCACAACTAATCAACAAGCATGACTCTAATATTACCATCCTCATATCTCAAAACAATCATCAAGTATCAAACTTCTCATAGTATTCAATGCACTCTATATGAAAGTTTTTATTATACCCATCTTGGATGCCCATCATATTAGAACTAAATTCATAACCAAAGCAAACTACCATGCTGTTCTAAAGACTCTCAAAATAATATAACTGAAGCACGAGAGTTCATCTATTTCTATAAAAATAAAACCACCACCATGCTCTAAAAAGATATAAGTGAAGCACTAGAGCAACAACAAACTACTCCGAAAGATATAAGTGAAGATCAATGAGTAGTCGAACAATTATGCAACTATATGAAGACTCTCTAACATTTAAGAATTTCAGATCTTAGTATTTTATTCAAGCAGCAAGCAAAACTAAATAAAATAAAATGATGCTCCAAGCAAAACACATATCATGTGGTAAATAAAAATATAGCTCCAAGTAAAGTTACCGATGAACGAAGACGAGAGAGGGGATGCCTTCCGGGGCATCCCCAAGCTTAGGCTTTTGGTTGTCCTTGAATATTACCTTGGGGTGACTTGTACATCCCCAAGCTTAGGCTCCTGCCACTCCTTATTCCATAATCCATCAAATCTTTACCCAAAACTTGAAAACTTCACAACACAAAACTTAACAGAAAACTCGTAAGCTCCATTAGCGAAAGAAAACAAAACACCACTTCAAGGTACTGTAACGAACTCATTCTTTATTTATATTGGTGTTAAACCTACTGTATTCCAACTTCACTATGGTTTATAAACTCTTTTACTAGCCATAGATTCATTAAAATAAGCAAACAGCACACGAAAAACAGAATCTGTCAAAAAACAGAACAGTCTGTAGTAATCTGTAACTAACGCAAACTTATGGAACCCCAAAAATTCTAAAATAAAATGATGGACGTGAGGAATTTATCTATTAATCATCTGCAAAAAGAATTAACTAAATAGCACTCTCCAATAAAAAATGGCAGCAATTCTCATGAGCGCTAAAGTTTCTGTTTTTTACAGTAAGATCAACAAGACTTTCCCCAAGTCTTTCCAACGGTTCTACTTGGCACAAATACTAATTAAAACATAAAAACTCAATAATAACAGAGGCTAGATAATTTATTTATTACTAAACAGGAACAAAAAGCAAGGAACAAAAATAAAGTTGGGTTGCCTCCCAACAAGCGCTATCGTTTAACGCCCCTGGCTAGGCATGATGATTTCAACGATGCTCACATAAAAGATAAGAATTGTAACATAAAGAGAGCATCTTTAAGAATATTACTAGAACATTTAAGTCTAACCCACTTCCTATGCATAGGGATTTTGTGAGCAAACAACTTGTGGGAACAAGAATCAACTTGCATAGGAAAGCAAAACAAGCATAACTTAAAGATTTTAAGCATGTAGAGAGGAAACTTGATATTATTGCAATTCTTACAAGCATATGTTCCTCCCTCATAATAATTTTCAGTAGCATCATGAATAATTCAACAATATAACCAGCACCTAAAGCATTCTTTTCATAATCTACAGGCATAGAAAATTTATTACTCTCCACATAAGCAAAATTCTTCTCATTCGGAATAGTAGTGGGAGCAAACTCAACAAAATAACTATCATGTGAGGCATAATCCAATTGAAAACTAAAATCATGATGACAAGTTTCATGGTTATTATTATATTTAATAGCATACAAGTCATCACAATAATCATCATAGATAGCAACTTTGTTCTCATAATCAATTGGAACCTCTTCCAAGATAGTGGAATCATTACTAAATAAAGTCATGACCTCTCCAAATCCACTTTCATAATTATCACAATAAGATTCAACATCCTCCAAAATAGTGGGATCACTAGTTCCTAAAGTTGGCACTCTTCCAAACCCACTTTCATCAATATAATCATCATAAATAGGTGGCATGCTATCATCATAATAAAATTGCTCATCAAAACTTGGGGGACAAAAATATCATCTTCATCAAACATAGCTTCCCCAAGCTTGTGGCTTTGCATATCATTAGCATCATAGATAGTCAAGGAATTCGTACTAACAACATTGCAATCATGCTCATCATTCAAAGATTTAGTGCCAAACATTCTAATGCATTCTTCCTCTAGCACTTGAGCACAATTATCGAAATCCTTATTTTCATGATAGATATTAAAAAGATGAAGCATATGAGGTAACCTTAATTCCATTTTTTGTAGTTTTCTTTTATAAACTAAACTATTGCTAAAACAAGAAACAAAAAGATTCGATTACAAGATCTAAAGATATACCTTCAAGCGCTAACCTCCCCGGCAATGGCGCCAGAAAAGAGCTTGATGTCTACTACACAACCTTCTTCTTGTAGACGTTGTTGGGCCTCCAAGTGCAGAGGTTTATATGACAGTAGCAAATTTCCCTCAAGTGGATGACCTAAGATTTATCAATCCATAGGAGGCGTAGGATGAAGATGGTCTCTCTCAAGCAACCCTGCAACCAAATAACAAAGAGTCTCTTGTGTCCCCAACACACCCAATACAATGGTAAATTGTATAGGTGCACTAGTTCGGCTAAGAGATGGTGATACAAGTGGTATATGGATGGTAGATAAAGGTTTTTATAATCTTAAAATATAAAAACAGTAAGGTAACTAATGATAAAAGTGAGCGTAAACGGTATTGCAATGCGTTGAAACAAGGCCTAGGGTTCATACTTTCACTGGTGCAAGTCCTCTCAAGAATAATAACATAATTGGATCACATAACTATCCCTCAACATGCAACAAAGAGTCACTCCAAAGTCACTAATAGCGGAGAACAAACGAAGATATTATGGTAGGGTACAAAACCACCTCAAAGTTATCCTTTCTGATCGATCTATTCAAGAGTCCGTAGTAAAATAACATGAAGCTATTCTTTCCGTTCAATCTATCATAGAGTTCGTACTAGAATAACACCTTAAGACACAAATCAACCAAAACCCTAATGTCACCTAGATACTCCAATGTCACCTCAAGTATCTATGGGTATGATTATATGATGTGCATCACATAATCTCAGATTCATCTATTCAAACCAACACAAAGTACTTCAAAGAGTGCCCCAAAGATTCTACCGAAGAGTCAAGACAAAAACGTGTGCCAACCCCTATGCATAGGTTCATGGGCAGAACCCGCAAGTTGATCACCAAAACATACATCAAGTGGATCAATAAAATACCCCATTGTCACCACGGGTATCCCATGCAAGACATACATCAAGTGTTCTCAAATCCTTAAAGACTCAATCCGATAAGATAACTTCAAAGGGAAAACTCAATCCATTACAAGAGAGTAGAGGGGGAGAAATATCATAAGATCCAACTATAATAGCAAAGCTCGCGATACATCAAGATCGTATCACCTCAAGAACATGAGAGAGAGAGAGAGAGATCAAACACATAGCTACTGGCACATACCCTCAGCCCCGAGGGTGAACTACTCCCTCCTCATCATGGAGAGCGCCGGGATGATGAAGATGGCCACCGGTGAGGGTTCCCCCCTCCGGCAGGGTGCCAGAACGGGTCTAGATTGGTTTTCGGTGGCTACGGAGGCTTCTGGCGGCGGAACTCCCGATCTATTCTGCTCTTCGAAGTTTTTAGGGTATATGGGTATATATGGGAGGAAGAAGTACGTCGGTGGACCTCCGGACTGTCCACGAGGCAGGGGGCGCGCCCAGGGGGGTGGGCGCGCCCCCACCCTCGTGGGCAGCCCGGGACTCTCCTGGTCCATCTCCGATACTCCGTGGGCTTCTTCTGGTCCAAAAATAAGTTCCCTGAAGGTTCAGGTCAATTGGACTCCGTTTGATTTTCCTTTTCTGCGATACTCTAAAACAAGGAAAAAAACAAAAACTGGCACTGGGCTCTGGGTTAATAGGTTAGTCCCAAAAATAATATAAAAGTGTATAATAAAACCCATAAACATCCAAAACAGATAATATAATAGCATGGAACAATAAAAAAATATGGATACGTTGGAGAGGTATCAGGATGCTCCGGCGTGCAACTACACCGACAACGAGCATAACTACAACATGGGGTACCACCTTGTCTGATGGTATCTATCCTCAGTGGACCGCATTTATCAAGACCATGTCCGATCCCCATGGTGACAAATAACGTCACTTTTCAACAATGGAAGAAGCAGCCAAGAAGAATATGTAGAGAGCATTCGGAGTGCTCCATGCTCGTTGGAGTATTGTTTGTGAAGCTACAGTGATGTGAGAATCAGATACATTGTGGGAACTGATGACGTTTTGTGTCATCTTGCACAACACGATTGCCGAGGATGAGGGTGAAGGGGCAAGCCAAACACATGATTTTGAGAATTCTGAAGTAAATGTCCTCCTCCCAGAACAAGATCTCAAGCATGTTGTGAAATTTCTAGAGACGCATCAGAATCTTCGGGATCAAAAAGTGCACACGCAACTATTCAATGATCTTGTGGAGCATATGTGGACCCACAATGAAAACCAAGGAATATAATGACTGTGCACTTGGAACAATTTTTAGGTTTGAACCATGTATTTTTTGCTATGAACAAATGTTGTTTGCGTGTGATATTCATGTGTATGATCGACGTGCATGTGTTTAGATTTGAGGATTTGAAAATGAAAGACGTGAATGCAGTGGAGGACATTCGAGGGGTCGTCCGGTGCTGTCCGGGGTCACATCTGGAGGGGGTGGGGTGGGGGTCCGTGGACGTTTAATGAGGCGGATTTGCCTATGCTTTCACGAGATCCACCTTTATTATGTGCCAGCACGACGTGAAAAAATTTCTACTTCCATCTTTGCAATTTTAATTCCTTTTCTGCAGGAGGTTATATGGTTGCATGTTAATTAACATGTTATTAAAAACCCACTCGCAAACAAAAACCTTGGACACATGCTTTCCTCCTGTTTTTTGCATGCGAACATGCCATTCCTTGCGTTTCTCCCCACTTTAACCATTCGACTTACAAGTCAATACCAACTCAAACAGAGCAGCTAAAATCAAAATTTCTAAGGGCCTCTTTGATTTATAGGATTGCAAAAATACAGGAATAAGGAAAACGTAGGATTGGAATGGCATATCCATTGGATCCCTATAGGATTCGAGTTTGTTTGATTGTGTCACGGGAAAAACAAAGGATTTCTTTCAAGAGGTTGGAGTGGATGTTGGAATTCCTATAAAATGTAGTACAAATGAATCCTTAGGAAAAAATCCGACAAGATTCAATCCTACGAATCAAACAACCAACGTAGGAAAAATTCCTAAGGATTCTAATCCTTCAAAGATCCTATGAAAATCCTTTGACCCTAAACAGAAAAGCAAGCATATCGGACACAACAGTGTCAGATAACGTGTTCATGGGAGTGGACGGCGGCCCCACCCAACCCCAATCAGCCGAGCTGACCCGACCCGAGCCAAGTGGCCACCCAGCATCCTCCCACCACCATCCCATCCGCCTTTATTTAATACTTATAAACAAAACCGGATAAGATCACGCATCCATCGATAACCCCAACGGGTTAACGAGCCGCAGCAAACAAGCAAGCGGACAAACGCCCCCGACCCCGCCCCCCCTCTCGCTCCTGCCGTCGCCCTCACCACCGTGATCCGATCATACACGCGCGCGCCCTCGTCGTCCGCGCTTCCCTTCCCTTCCCGCGAGCAGGCCGAGGTACGTACGCACGGCAGCGCGAAGCTCCACCGCTCGCTCGACCGGCCCCCTCCGCGCGGCCGCTCGCCGGCGGCCGGCGGGGTGGAACGGCTCCTTTCTCGCCGCTGCTCCGCGCTCTCCTCGCTTGCCCTTCGAATCGGCGCTCTGCCTGCGCTCTGTTGATTAATTGTTTTTTTTATTGGGTTGGTGTCGCAGGTAAGGGGGGAGAATAGGAGGAGGGAGGCTAGGGCAGGAGGCGGCATGTCCGGGGGAGAGGAAGGCGAGCGGCGCAAGGTGTCGCGCGAGGACATACAGCTCGTGAGCCCCCGCCCCCCATGACCCCTCCCGGCCCTCGGTTTCCCTCTTCGCATGATTTTGTCCTCTCGCTGAACTGAATCCGAACAGCCTCTGTTTTTTTTTTCTCATTTTTTTTCTTCCGGAAAAGGTCTACTATTAGGTTGTGCGGTGCTTGCAGGCCGGGGTGATTAGAACTGCTTGCCGTTGCAGTTTTATTTCTTTCTTCTTGTCCGTGTGTTTGATTCTGATTACTGTTGGCCCTTGAGAATGGAAGGGGGTGGCTGTGTTGAAGCAAAGGTACAGGTGGGGGTAATAAATGGTAAAGGAAGCATGGAGGGGGGAATATGTGGCCCCCATTGTAGTCAACTAATAAACTGAAATGCAGACTAGGAAATTTCTTAACATGAATTACGATATCTAGTTGGTCGTCACCTACAGTTAGTCAGGTTAGTGCGTTATTATATTCTTCTTCCGAAGTCCTAATCATAGTTCATTAATGGGACGCATGCGATTTTCTTCAGAATTCGTAATTCATTGCACAGGATTGTGCTACTAACAGGGTTCTGTTTCCCTCCAAAGACATTTAAGTTTGAAGCAAGATGCTAACACTTCAAGACCCTAGTAGTTCGCACTGACTACACACTCTCGTCTTTCCATTTTATTTTATTTTTTGATTTTGATAAAATGTGTTCGATGTCATTTCCTACCTTGTGGTTGGCTATTTAATTACTGCCATTTTCACAGACCTATATCTGCCTTGTTATGTGTCTCCTATGTGTCTGAGTCTGTTTATCACATTGTATGCAGAGTCAATTGCGGTTACTGTATATGGCACTGTATGTGTTTGTTTGACATAAAGTTGTGACTGGAGTTTCTTTGCATCTATTTAAGATTCTTTGTTAGTTCTTTTGTGCATGCATATTTCCTTGAAGCAATGAGTTTTCATGCGGAAACTACTTTACAGGTCCAGAATCTCATCGAACGTTGTCTTCAGCTTTACATGAACCAGAAAGAAGTGGTTGAAACTCTATCTTTCCAGGCGAAAATAGAACCCAGCTTTACTGAGCTCGGTAATACTCGTGAACTCAGAAGTTCGCTTACTTCTTATGTTGCACTTTTGCTTGATTTCGTTGAGTGAGGTATCACAACTGGCAACACTTAATAGTTAGATCCCATGGACTCCTTTTTTTCCCCAACTTTTTACATAGCATACATGGTGCTTAGGATTGAAAGCACAGTTTTGTATTGTATTTGAATGCTGTATGTATATATTATGTAGTCCTAGCTTTATTGGCATGATGGTGTCAGCTTGTTAGTCTTTTTCCTTGTTTTGACTACCTTGTCACAGAATGAAAACATTACCAGCTCTATGTTTTTGTTAATATGATTGCAGAATGCAATGCCTTCATGATCTTTGCAGTTTCCCCATCCTTGAATAAAGTATAGCAACTTGAGCAAAATGTGCATTTTCTATAAAGTAGAAAAAATTTCACACCTTGACTCCATGAGGCTCTCTGATACCTAAAATTAATGACAGAGCCACGTAGGAGGCTTTCATGTGTCAAAGTAAATTCCATGCTGCGCGTTGAATCTAAACGGCCTTATCTTTTGAATTTAATGCCATTTCATTACAATTTAACATGATGAATGAATCCCGGCAATTAGCTTATGATGAAAGGAATATTTGTCTTTATCAGAATTTTGGAGAACATAGTGATTCTTTTCTGACATTGAGAACATAATGATTCTATTTTTGTTCATAAACAATTGAATCTTCATTTGGTGTCTTTACTGGTACATGTATGGATGATTTGGCCCTCTCTTTCTCATCCTTATTTCCTCCAGTCTGGCAGAAACTTGAAGAAGAGAACCCTGAGTTTTTTAAGGCATATTATGTGAGGTTGATGCTTAAGAATCAAATAAATGTGTTCAACAAGCTCCTTGCGCATCAGTGTCGTCTTATGAATAAAGATCCTTCTGGAGCACTTTCAATTACCCCTACTGCTCCTAATGGCTCTGACTTGAGCACATGTAAGTTTTTTTCCCGAGTAGCTTTTATACAGCTAAGTTAACTGGGAGTCCACTTGCTATCTCCTAAAATTTTCCAGTGGCAGTGCAGTTAGATTAATATATTTAATATGTTGCCCATACAGAGCCAATGCAAACTCATTTTGTATAATTGTATGGTAGTTATCTCATCTCCAGTGATAGTTTGATAAAGATTCCTTTTATTCATTCATTACAGATCAAGATCACTATTTCTGGTTTTTGCAAGTCTTGATTCTTGATTTATGCATTAGTAGCTTGCTTTTAATTTTAGCTACGTCACAACCCTATTTTATTATGCTCTAAAGCAGTCTTTTTCTTACTTCCTCAGTGAACCAAAATACATGTTTTTTACAAGACACTACTAGCACTGCAATTCCAGATAGCTTCCTACACAATGGAAATTCTAGTGGTGTAATAAATGGCGCTCCTGCTACTGACCAGTTTATCTATGGTGGTAAAGTTGTCCATGGTCTTCCTAGTGGTATGGATGCTTCAGTTAGTCTACTATCAGCGCATAATTCGACTGGTGGACAGTTTAATGGAGACAATGGCACAACAATAAAGGCAGAGTCTAGCTTTTCGAGCAATCCAGAGTTTGCATTCTGCAACGAGAACACTTACCTAGAGCCTTGCCAATCAATTGGAGATGCCTCCGGTGGGTCCTTTAGTAGCTCTGAACTGAATGGGCAACCACTTGGTGATACAATTCTTGACATGGATACATCATCATATGGTTTCTTGAGCCAGATTCCTCGCAATTTCAGTTTCTCAGATTTAACAGAGGATTTCAGTCATAGTACAGGTACTTCTGATTGACATTTCTGATATTTATTCTCTCTGTTTGCTTTCTTAAGTCCTGCTGTTACAATACTGTTATTATGTATTTGTGATACCTTTTTCTTTGGGTTCTCTGCAGAAATATTAGAAAATTATGGCAGATCCCCTTTCATCCCTTCTGAGACGAACAACTTCTCAGAGTCTACTGCTGGAGGACATACAGGTTAAACATCCTCCTTCGGTCCACATTCCTCGTTTTCATGCTCACCCACCCTAAATAAGGCAACAAGATAAACGAGTATTCGCTCTGAATTACAGCACTATGCATTGATGCAATGTTAGATCTAGCTAATGGTTCTCTTGCTATTGTCAGAAATAGGAAATATACGGCTAGATTCCATATCTGAGGGTGTTAGTTATGAAGATTTTGGAAGTGATTAATCAGCTTTTGATCATACTGCCTGAGGTAATTTCGTGACCAGAAATAGGTTTTAACAGTTGTTAGGTAAATTCACGAATAGATATATTTTCTTTTTTTCATGTAATTTCCTGGTCTTCGTGTGGATTTGATTGGCTGGGGACATGGCATAAATGGTTAACCTACAACTGACCTTGTCTCCCATGTCTAAGCTGAAATCTGTACTGGCACATACAATGGATATCTTCCTCAGTAGAGAGAGGGTTGAAGTTATTGCCATTAGAATTAATCTGTGTAGAGAGAATAGAGCGAGTATAGCTCAAGACGATTGTAGCTGAATGTGAGTTCACTACACCATCAGTCGTTACGCGGATGATATGACCTTTATATTAGGACTGTGAAAAAATAGCACATGACCTTTATATTAAAACTGTGAAAACCGGATGATATGACTAGTATCAAGAGTAAATGGCATGCTGTTAACTTGTAAGATTGCCATGGTTGAGTAACTTAAGATGGTACAAGGAAACTATTTCTTAATTGGGGACACATGGATATCATCTTTTGAGGACATGGTAGTGGTGTGTGGTGTGTGGCAATGCTCTCGCCAGAGGTGAATCCGTTGTTTGAACTTATATATTTTTTCATAGCCCAGCTGGCTAGCGAAGTTGACCAAGATCTTCACTGTTCTAACATATTTCGTCCTCCATTTATGTGTGCAGTTTGAGCAGTGATGCGCCATTTGTACAGTGTCCTTTGGGCAGGCAAACCTCTATAATCATTTGCACTGAACACAGCTAATTTGCGGAAACTGTTCATCGTTGGACTTGCGGTTCTGTGCTGTAGTAGAAGGGGATGCAAGAAGCCTATGTTCGCGTATCCTTGCTGATGGTATTGTAGAAGCCTTCTATAACTGTTTCAGTTACTTGAGATAGCATTAGGTTTGGTTGGAGCCCCTCCGTATGCTGGTTGAGTTATCATCTGTGAGAATCTTGTATAAAGATTGTTCTTAACTGACGCACTTGTTCCACTTCCATTCGAACTGAAGATCATTAGTGACCTCCTTTTATGGTTGGTAAGTTTTATTTTCATGATTTTGCTATCCGATCGACGAGCTGCTGTTATGAAAATTGCTATATGTCTTTAGGTAGTATTACACTACTGGTCTATATTTCCCCTCTTTTTTCTTGAATACAAGAACGAGCATATCATATACTCCCCCGTCCCAAAATAAGTGACTCAACTTTGTACTAGCTTTGTACTAAAACTAGTACAAAGTTGAGTCAGTTATTTTAAGACGGAAGGAGTACTAAAAAAGAGAGCGGGGAAGAAAACCCCTTCACCTTGTTGTGTTGCAGTTTACATGCAACACAACCCACCTCCACCATGATTAGGGCTCGTTTGGTTGTCCGGAATCCCTCAGCCCAGGGAAAGCCCATGACGCATTTGGTCGCTTGCCTGCCACGGGTTTTCCTCCCCTATCTGCATCGTTTCCACGGGAAAACAGTCCACACCTCTAGGGGCCGGGAAGAAATCCCTCGAGGCAATGGCAGCGGCACAACACTTGCTGATCCCCTTTGCTAGTGACCGAGAGCAGCGGATCCACCTTCCTCAAGCGATGATTCCCAAAGCGATGCAAGTTCCTCTGCCCTCCACGACGGCGACGACCCAGTGATTGTCCTTTTCTTGCCCTCGAGGCCCTGCTTCAAAGGTCTCCAATGGACAGCGACGACCCAACGGTGGTCCTCTTCCTCATTCGAGCAGGTTAGCCCTCTCCCCCATCCCCACTACCCACGTCGTCATGTTTCTCTAGTTCATGTCCTGTGGCTCCAGATGCACGAACATGAGCACCATCTCTTCCTCTTCTCCCGCAGAAAATATCTCCCTTTGCCTTTTGTGCCCAAACAACGACGGGGGTGTTTTCCCCTGGTGGCTCGGGGATCCCAAGTGAATAAGGAACCCCCCCCCCCCCCAATGGGGTCTACTGCCCAAGGTTTACCATCCCCAACAACCAAATGGGTCCTTCGAGTAACTATACCCTCTCTCATTTATCCACCTTGACAATGAGCCAAAGTAGTCCAACTCTCCCTTCAATATGCCTCCTTGCCTCCATGACCTTTCATCTCTCAATTGTGGTGGCAACTTTAAGTTGTAACAGTGTGGCTCCGTCAAACACTATGGCATTTCGATACTTCCACTGGGTCCAAAAAGGGTGAAGAATAAGTGGTCGAGCGGATCTTAAAAAGAGAGCCCGAGCTCACTATGATAGTTCATAGGCCAACAAGCCCATCAGCCATGTCTAGTCATCACTAGAGGGTTTTAAATTGTCTCAAAAAAAACTAGAGGGTTTTAAAGAACTCAAAAGTGATTTAGTTTCTAGACGTTCTGTTAATTACTAGGACCCATCTTTTTTTTGTCTTTACTAATATTACGACTTTAGGCGAGGCAAGTTGTTTGGTGCATCTAATACCTTTAAATGAAAGTATTTTTTAATAATTTTTAAATTGATGTTATATAAATCTGGATCAAAGAGTATGTATGATTTTCTGAAAAAGTTCGACTGCCAGTACACTAATACGAATCTCTCACTCAACGCAAACTACTATCTGTGACACGATGCTGTGAGGACATATTATGGTAAAATTTATGTGGACATGTTCGTCAGACAACCTGTCTTTATTGCTAGACATCGATTTAGATTTTATCCATTGTAATACACGAAAAAAAATACACATGTAAATCTCATTTTGTAGGTGTTGGCAAAATAAAAATAAAAATAGTTTGTGATTTGTGATCAGCTCTATTAGTTCTCCAAAATTTATGTTTGGTCTATTTAACTCGATGCACGATACTTTGTTCTCTAACTCTTACCCGTTCAGTTTATGGACATTTAGTGATGGAGATTAAGCATCTTTTAGTTAGTAGAGAGTTTATTTCGATGAAAATTTCGAGAGATCAAAATAGAAATCTATGGCTATATTTGCAGGCCACATGCATCTGGCAAGCCGTGCACAAATCATGGGGGAAGAGAGAAAAATATAAACCTACTATCTTGAAATAAAGACCTTTTCTCGCTATCATATTGATTCAGTGATGAAAATGCCTGGATTGGAACCATGGCGTTTGTCTTGTTTTTATGGTGCAGCAGATAGGAGTATGAGGTATAAGACGTGGGATACTATGAAAATTCTACGGGGGGAGAATGCACTACCATGGGTGTGCATGGGAGATTTTAATGAAATTTTAAGGCCAGAAGAGCAAATGGGGGCAAATGAGCGTGATAGTGCTCAAATAGAAGGATTTAGAGAAGCAGTTGATGTTTGCGAGTTAGCGGACCTTGGCTACAAAGGGTTGGATTGGACTTTTGAGAAGAGAGTTGTGGGGGGAGAATACTGCAGGGTAAGACTTGATCGAGTGCTGGCTACGGCCAGTTGGTCAGCGTTATTCCCGTATGCCACGGTTGAACACCTAACTGCAGCAAAGTCAAATCATAGCCCAATATTATTGATCAATGAGATGGAGGCAAGCAACCAGAGAATCGCCCTTAAGAGGCCTTTTCGTTATGAATGCATGTGGGAGAGCGATGACAGGTTCGTGGATACACTTCAGGAGGCATGGGGCCGGGATCAGCCGGCGGAAACTATGGCGCAGCTTGCGGCCAAGTTGTCTTCGGTTGGGACTGCCCTGAAACAATGGGGCAAGCTGTCGTTTGGCTCAGTCAGACAGGAGTTGCGCAGGTTACGGCAACAGTTGACTCTGCTTAGAGAGGACCCGACGCATGTTGGGCCGGGAGTGGAAGAGAAAAGGGTCTTGGATCGGATTGTTGAGCTGTCCTTTCGAGAGGAGACTATGATGAGGCAGAGATCTCGCATGGACTGGTTATCTGCGGGGGACAGTAATACGCAATACTTTCGGAGGAAAGCGAGTGCTAGAAGGGCAAAGAACACCATAACACAGTTACAGAAAATAGATGGAACGACCACCTCTGATCCGGAGGAGATGGCTGAGATGACGAATGAATTTTATGAGAACTTATACAAATCAGAAGAATGTATAGGCATAGAAGAAGTTCTGTCACATATTCCGGTAAGAGTTGATGGTAACATGAATGCAAGGCTCAATGCGCAGTATACAAAAGAGGAGGTTAAAGAGGCACTTTTTCAGATGTTCCCAACAAAAGCACCGGGGCCGGATAGTTTTCCGGCGCATTTCTTTCAGAGACATTGGGAACTATGTGGCGATGAGGTAACTGGCGTGATTATAAGATTGCTCAATGGAGAGTACTCACCGGAGGATATCAACCGCACGTTCATCGTTCTTATTCCCAAGATAGCTAGTCCAAAACTGTTAGCACAATTTCGGCCTATAAGTCTTTGCAACGTGATCTATAAGATTGCGTCAAAGGTCTTAGCAAATAGGCTGAAGATTATTCTCCCCGAGGTAATTTCTGAGGAGCAGTCCGCTTTTGTGCCTGGGCGTCTTATCACGGATAACTTCATAATAGCTTATGAGTGCCTACATTACATGAAGACCAGGAGAGTGAAGGCAAACCGTTTTGTGGCTCTGAAGTTGGATATGATGAAAGCATATGATAGACTTGAGTGGCGTTATTTGAAAGCAGTGATGCTCAAGATGGGTTTCAGCCCACGTTTTATAGATATGGTTATGAGGTGCGTGTCTTCAGTCACTTTCTCAGTTCTTTTTAATGGTGGCAGTCTTCATGATTTCAGGCCAACAAGGGGGATGAGACAAGGGGATCCCATATCCCCGTACCTATTCTTGTTAGCCGCGGAAGGCCTCTCGTGTCTGTTAAAAGCCCAAGGGGTGGGGGTACGAGGACTGTCAGTGGCGAATAATGCTCCAGCAATCAACCATTTACTTTTTGCAGATGACAGTCTCTTGTTCTTTGAAGCTGATAGTGAGAGTGCTACACAAGTGCGAGATGTGTTGAGAATGTATTGTGATGCTTCGGGACAGCGTATCAACACTGACAAATCCTCTATATTTTTCAGTAAGGGTGTGC